TATCGAAAGACTGTAAATAGATGTTTTTTGTACCATGTTTCACATAAAGATTTATGTAATTTTTAGATACATTTTACTTTGTTGAATGTTATTGAACTTATTAATGATTTGATTTTAAAAATGTAAAGACCGATTTTTTTTAAAAAATATATCTACAATGCGTTCATAAAAATTTTGATTTTTGATAAATAAAATTTAAAAAAACATATTTTTTTAATAAGATTAGAAATTTAAATTACAATTTTTTTCAAATTTTGAAATCGAATAAAAAATAATTTTAAATTATACATGCAAAGTTTTGGTGTTTCTATTCAATATCCCATTAAATATAATATTTATGACTCTGTGAATAAAACAATTTAAATCGTTTACATTTTTTAATTAGTATTTAAATCAATATAAAACTAATAATTATATTTACAAATTCTAAAAATATTAATTACATTTTTTATTTATACCCTCATAAATTCTTAAAATCATTTATCCTACACTCTGGACCAAAATATTTTTCTTTTTTTAACTCTTAATCACTTTTTACCAATTCCACCTATTTCATTAATTGATGAAGCGTACGTGGGCTGCTATATTCTTTCTAGTACAATTTCGGTAAAAAATTCTTAAACTTAATTGGATTTATAGGACTTTACCAAAAATTACTGCATTTAATCTATTTGTTAAAGAGAAACTGTAAATTTGGTTGGGTTTCTTTTGAGTTTTGTTCCTCAATATTTAGTTTTATCTCGACTATTTTTTTCTCGAGAGGTGATTTTCTTTTGAGTGTTTTCCCTTTGAAAGTTTGATTTTTCTCTTAGATAAAAGAGACCAAAGATGTAACATTGCACATCGTGCACGTTGTCTATTCCAACCCTAAGTAACCCACCAATTAAAAATCATTGTGTTCACGACGCCACCCGAATTGCTCCGAAATTTCTATTCTATGTCTCCACGTGAGTAAATCATTTATGAACCGCCGTTTTTTGAATTATTTGTTGGTGTTATTAGCAATTTAAAGTGTTTCAGTTATTCAATTTCAAGTTGAAAATGCCACGATGTATGGTGAAAAATTGTATATACAAATAATATAAGTGTCAATGTGAAATATATTCGTTTTCAGTGGTAAATATTTGTTGACGTTTTGACAAAGTCGCCATGATTCTTTGAGCTGAATACTTCAGATCCGCATTAAGGGGTTTCAATAAATATTAAGCATCAAATACATAATATTTCAGAAAATAAATTTCATAATGCATTAATTTACAAAAGAGTAAAATTTTAAACATTTAATCTAAATAAGAAGTAAATAGGCATTGTTACTAACGAAATTTTGTTTTTAAAAAGTAGTTTTATAAGAATATTTACTAAAGGTGATTTTTAGCCATTTATTAGGTATTTTTACAAGAATATTAGATAAAATACAGATTCACCTACTTAAAATTTCAAGGTTCATTTTATTTGCGGTTAAACCGGAAGTGACATTTGAATCTTAAGTCTTAAAACGTGCAATATGATCTAGTATAGCAAAAAAATACTAAAGTTACGGAAATTAGTCATATTATTAGTACAATGTTACATTATAAAACCCTAAACAACTCGAAAAAAAAATCTTCGTTTACTAAAAAAATCTAAATTCTAGCATTATTTATTATACAATCGAACGCGGTTTCAAAGATAACAGGATCTATAAATCCGAATCTCTAAATTTTGGAGCTAAATGCTTGAATAAAAGCATGCGACCGATAGGGGTTACAAAAATAATCGATTTATCGTTTTCATGAAAATCGATTTATCCGTTATAATTAATCGATTATTATTAATCGATTATTTTTGATTAATCGAACATTTTCAATAAATTGTTTTCGTTTTTTTAGGTAATGGAATAATCGATTATAAAGGAATTACAAAAAGAGTAGATTCATTCAAAATATTCGATTTATTAAAAATAATCGATTTTTTTTAGAAAAATCGATTTATTGTTTAATCGACTTTTTAAATTAATCGATTATTTTCGATTTACCGAATATTTTCGATTATTTTAGATTAATCGATTATTTTCGATTAATCGATTATTTTCGATTAATCGATTATTTTCAAATTTTCAAAGGTATTCGAATGATTTGTTTTAAAAGAAATGCGAAAAAATTGATTATATGAAAATAATCGATTGATCGAATATAATCGGTTATTTTATATAATAGATATTTCATTTATTTTTTAGAAATATCAATTTATCGGTCAACCAGCTTTTTATTAATCGATTATTTTCGATTTTTCAAAGATAATCAAATAATCAATTTTAAATGAAATATTAAAACAAAAGGATTATTTGAAAATAATCGATAATTCAGTTATTTTTTTGGAAAATCGATTTATCGTAGAATCGGCTTCTTAATTAATTGGTTATTTTCCCTTAATCGATTATTTTCAAAATGATCGAATAATTGATTATTTTAGATTTTTCAAAGATTATCGAAAAATCTGTTTCAATGGAAATACGAAAAAAAAAAAAAAAAAAAAACAAAAAATAGATTATTTAAAAATAATCGATTATTTAAAATAAACGATAATTCGTTTATTATTTTTTGTAAACACTGATTTATCGGTTAACTGGCTTTTTAATTAATCTATTATTTTTGATTTTTCAAAGATAATTAAGTAGTCGATTTTAAAGGAAATACGATAAAAAATAGATTGTTTGAAAATAATCGATTATTATTAATGATCAATAATTTATTTAGATAATCACACAGTCCTAGCGACCAAATGACTTTTAATAGGTTAAAATTTTAAAATGATAACTGGTTTTGGACATATGCATTTCTAGAGTTTTATGTGACTCATCCTCTATATTAATTAATATTCCTAAAGAAACAAGCTTTAATATATCTTTTTCTGAGGTTAAAATACAAAACAGCATTTTCTCATTTTGACTAATTTTTAATATTATGTCATAGTCGTAGAAAAAATATAATGTTCAACTCACAAGGTTTGATTTGCAGTATTCGCCTGCGCACATGCTTTTTATAATACTCTTAGACAATGAGTACCATTCCTTACTCGATTATCAATATTCTATTTCAACATTTTACTGTAGTCTCTGACAGAAAAGTCCGTAGTAAATAATAGCTAACGAAATACGTAAAATTTATTTCATAATACAAAATTCCATTAAAAGTATATTTTAAATAAATCTAATAGTTCATTATGATGCTAATAAACAAAGTCCGGTCCCTGTCACAGAGTTCGGGTCCCTGCCCAGTTCCCCCACTCCGTTAACCTTTCTTTAGAAATTGGCAACATTTGCGCAGGTTAAACACCGGTGTATGTTATATCTCTGGTCTCTTTTATCTAAGATTTCTTTGGAGTCTTTTTCACTCGAGAGGTGGTTTTCTCTCGAGTCTTTTTTCTTCAAAAAGCGGTTTTTTTCTCGAGTCTTTTCTTTTCGAGGGGTTGTTTTCTCTAAAATAATTTTTCCTCGAGAAGTGGTTTTCTCTCGAACCTTTTTTCCTCATGATACCAACAGAATTTGGCGCCACTAAATTTTGGCGTGGTCTAGTTAATCAAATAATAATACACAAATACAAAAAAAATAAATACCCATAAAATAACCTAGTTAAAAAAAAAAAAAACACAAAAACGACAAAGCTGTCAAAAAGATTACTTTTCAAATCAGAAATATATTCATGGTTTGTTTTCTTTGCTATCTAATAAAGTTCATGTTTTATTAAAAAAACTTGTGAGAAAATCTTAATTATAGTTCTTGAACTCCTAAAAAGTTTCCACAACAAAATTAGTACGATACAAACAGTATTTACAAACTTTTTGACGGTAACGATATGTGGGATCGTTAAATGTATTTATCCCATCAAAAAAAATAATTTTATCGTTGGAGATGTATAAAGTAAATTTTAAATCAAAGTGTAAATGACATGTCAGTTTAAAATTAAAAGTCATGATGATGATCAATAACTCATTTTACCATGGCAGACGAAATTTCGTCGAGTTCGCGCATGACATATTATGGAATATGGATCCGATTGGCCATGAGTAAAATAAAATTTATTTTAACGCGCTGTTCTCGATCAGATGATACCTCAAATTCGTAGAAGCCACGCCTCCACACCATAATATGTCACCATGACGTAGTATCAATTGGCGTAATATCATAAATTCTTAATATAGTATCATGAGTTTAACCATTGTCATACTAGGACTGCCACGAATTAAAGGGTTGCCTAAAAGGTGACAAGTGTGTAACGTTCCAAGGTAGAAAGTATATAGTGCATCTGAGTTACTACACCATGTTTCTAGCTTTTAAAGCCAACTGGATGAAAAAGTTCATAGCATGGGACGCAGCATTTAACAAAAAAAAAAAAATCCTGAATCTCCAATTTGCTGGTAGTTCCGCTTTTACTGAAACAATTCCGTTAGTTTATCTACTGTAAAAACTAAATTTAAATATCTTATTAAGATATTATACCAGTCCACCTGTCTTAGAAAAATTAATTAATTAAGTGGAACATGTAAAAAGTTATTATTAGTTAAATAGTGTATAAGGCTATTTTGAGAGTTCTGTTAATATTTTAATAAAAATAAATTGACATTAACGTAATATAGATATTATAATTATATGAGTGTAAAATAAATATGAAAATGTAAAAATTCTGTTTTCGTTTTTGAATAAATATAATAACTAACAATCATTAAAATACATGTTCATGATGCATTAAGGATAAAAGTCCTCAATTAAAAGAAATATAATACATATTTATTATTAGAATTTAAATTTATAGGTTTTTTTCATAAAAAATGTTCTGTCAAACAATAAACGTATTATATTTCAAACAGCACCTTAAAATTATAGCCTAAATTAAAGTGGTTCAATGTATTATACGGGTAACAAGTATCCTTAGGTGTTTGAAAATTTGAAAGTATAGAAAGAATTTCATTCAGACTCCAAAGGTGTTAAGTAATTTATGGTTAACTTGGTTGCAGAAAAAATATCGTACAAACTGAAAAATAGAGATATTAATAGATTTAAAAAGGAACTACCTACCTGGAGAACATAATAAAGGTTATAAGTAAAAAAATTGATAGGACAGGCGTTAAGGCAGGGATATTAGAGAGGTAGATAAATCAGACGATATCAAAGAATGACTTTGTACGCCCTAGAATAAAATGGTTTGACGATACATAATAATAGGCCAGAAATAAGTGGCCTGATGTAGGCCAAAGTACACAAATGTGGAAGAGAAGTGGCAGCATTAGGGAACACAAAATGGCAGATAAAAATTTAAGAATGACTAGACTTGGCATCTACCCCAAAGAGGTCCTTAAAAATGTACCCCAAGGAACGTTCTTCCAAAAAACGAAACAACTCTCCCATATCCATGTGATTGAATTTGACGCCGCTATTTTGAAAAACGACTTCTTCGAATTTTTCGAATTTCAAAAAAGCACGCCCCTCTTCAAGTTGGTCTTCTTCTACGACCTTACAGAAAATTTTCTTCCAATTCATGGATTTGATCGTTTGCCACCATTCGATGACGTCCGTCGTGGTGCCTTCGACGCATATTATACCGGGTTTACCTGAAAATAAATATAAAATTAAATAATTTCGTGAATTAATAATAGAAATTCGTGACTTTTTTGAATACGTTCTAAAATTACTTCCTTATAGGAGATCTTAAAATATCGAGTGTCTCAATAAATTGTCTTATAAAATAACGAGTAACAAATAATGCGCCAATATACCTGTGGCAGCTTTATGAGTGTATAAGCGAGAAAAATGTATGAAAATTTCAAATGTGAATAAATTAGTTAAAGTCTCAAAAATTATAAAGTGCTGCTCAAGTACAGTAAAAACATTTATCTCCAATAAATGTATATTAATTGTTATTTCATAACAAAACGTATAAAGTTACCCTACAAATTATAAATTAAAATATTGTACTCGAACAAAAACATATACCTAAGTTATTAGTTTTAATTAAATCCAGCAAAATACGCTAATTTAGTGATGACGTAATTTTGGTCCTACTGATAATTTTATTTGAGTGCATTTCGTTCGTTTGGTTAACCTATTATATTATTTTTAAACATTTAGAAACAAAATATATTTCTAGAGTAAGTAAATAACATGCATCGGGTATATAATCATTTAGTAACCTTTAAACTAATTTTAATGAGTTGCAAACAATACTATTTAATAAAAAAATAAAAACATCAAATATTGTTTAAAGTTTAGTTAGAATTAACTGTCAATGAAACCAAAATTTCGTCACACTTTTATGGCATATGGCATATTGACAAGTTCAATTACTATATTATGTGCGACATATCTGAAGGAAAAACGATAGATGATTATTTATATACATTAAACTATATGAATAATAATACTGGCAAAAATTAATTTGTTTTACCCAGGTTCTTAATAAATTCATTAAATATTTTATAAACTTTTAATTCAATACAAAAAAAAAACAAAAAAAAACAAAAAAAAAACAAAACAAAAAAAAAACAAAAAACAAGAAAACTAAAAAAAAAACAAAAAAAAAGCAAAAAATAAGAAGCAAAGAAACAAAAAAAAACAAAATTGCAAATGAGAGAAAAAACATTAAACAATATAAGAAAAACATGTTTTAATATAAAGAAGTTGAAATATCAAGTAATACTCGACTTACGCAGCCACATAACGATTTTTTTAATCTTTTTTTATTTTTCTACTAATGTTTTTATATTAAACGTACTCAAGCATTTTATGTATACCTAGGTACTAATGAAAATTATTTGTTTACAAATAAATGTATATTTGCAATCAACCTTATGTTTTTGCGTTAATCAGTTTATTCATTATATTCTTTCTATCATTTTTATTTATAAATTTCTGTTTTCACTTCAATTAAAAATTTCCAAAAATTATTTTTAGTCGTAAATTAAAATTTATAATTATCATATTATAGTTCATATTGGCCATAAATTCCAAAAATCTCTACTTTGGCCAATGATGACAGATGTCATCGTGTTTCAAACACACCGTTAATGTTTTTAATTTTCCTATTTGTATACAGATAAGGAAAGTATAGGAATCATGATTTTTTCGACATCGAGTTTTCGACGGATTTTTACGTTTTGAGGTCCCCTGAATCCGTTTTGACTATTTTCGCGATGATGTCTCGTGTGTGTGCATGTGTTCGCGTGTGTTTGCGTGTGTGTTCATGATTGTGTGCGTGTGTGTGTGTTCATGTGTGTGCGTGTGTGTGCGCGTGTATGCGCGCGCGTGTGTGTGCGTGTGTATGCGCGCGCGCGCGTGTGTGTGTGTGCGCGTGTGTATGCGTGTGCGCGCGTGTGTGTGCGTATGTGCGTTTATGTGTTCTAGTGAGTGCCTCTGTGCGTATGTGTGGGTATGTGTGCGTGTGTGCGTATGTGCGTGAGAGCGTGCGTGTGCGTGTATGTGTGTGCGTCAGTGCGTGCATGTGCGCGTGTGCGTGCGCGTGTGTATTCGTGAGTTCGTATGCGTGTGCGTGCGTATGTGTGATGTGCCTGCTTGCGTGTGTGCGTATGTGTGTGCGTCAGTACGTGAGTGCATGCGTGTGTATGCGTATGCGTGCGTGTGTTTATGTGTGTGTATTTATGTGTTTGTGTGTGTTTATGTGTTTGTGTGTGTTTATGTGTGTGTGTTTATGTGTGTGTGTTTATGTGTGTGTGTGTGTTTATGTGTGTTTATGTTTGTTTATGTGTGTTTATGTGTGTTTATGTTTGTTTATATGTGTTTATGTGTGTTTATATGTGTTTATGTGTGTTTATGTGTGTTTATGTGTGTTTATGTGTGTTTATATGTGTTTATATGTGTTTATCTGTGTTTATGTGTATGTGTTTATGTGTGTTTATGTGTGTTTATGTGTGTGTGTTTATGTGTGTGTGTTTATGTGTGTGTGTTTATGTGTGTGTGTTTATGTGTGTGTGTTTATGTGTGTGTGTTTATGTGTGTGTGTTTATGTGTGTGTGTTTATGTGTGTGTGTTTATGTGTGTGTGTTTTATGTGTGTGTGTTTATGTGTGTGTGTGTTTATGTGTGTGTGTTTATGTGTGTGTGTTTATGTGTATGTGTTTGTGTGTATATCCTCGATAACTCATGAACTGATAAAAAATACCAAATTTTAAACTTAAGCTTTTTTTCGACTTCTGGTGAACTGGTTAGATTTTGAGCAGAGTCGTATCATCTGGGGGGATACTTTATGAGGGGTCTTTTTTATATTTTATAGAATATATCTGTTATTTACGTTTGGAGAAGAAAATTCATAACTAGATAGGAAAGTCATGTGTTGGACACATCACATTTTTTTGTGTCATCGGCATTAACTGCTTTGTTACTGTTTTCCAGTGCCACTTTAGAAACGGCAATGTTAATTAGAACGCAACAGTGAATCGTCGAGTAGGAAATTATACCTATGCGTTCAAATTGAAATAGGAGTTACTTCTGCAATCTGTTAGTTTTTAATCGCACCATCAAGTGTACCTATATAGATTTGTAGCAAAGAATTTAATTTTGTAATTCAACAAATCTAATGGATAACAACTTATATTTGTGTAGATTCTAAGTATCATAAAATGAAACATAAGTAGTTATGTTTTAATCTGGTTAATATTAACTTGGGTAAGGTCTCTTAGAGTAGTCACTAAATAGGTCATATTAGCGATAAACACTGCATCAGGGTACACAAACTTTAATAAAACTTGTCCACAACTATACCAGCGGCAGGACACTGAGATTGACAGACAGGTGTACATAGTTTAAAATATACAATTTAAATATTAAGTGATATCATAAAATAACATTAAACTTATTAACTCATGCGATTAATCTATAATAATGATTTCAATAGTTTTTTCATTACTATATCAAGAAAATATCGGTAAAAACAGAGAACTCCTAAGAACTTACATTTTGCGAACGTGACGAAGAACACCGAGCGGACGCGAAGTGCGAGTTCGGGTTGGATAAAGAGGAACGTTATTGAACAATAATGAATGATTGTTTTTAAAGTGGCCCACTTACACAAACCAAAAGAACGCTTTTCATTATTTCCCTTTAAGGCGGGCCTTTCAACGCCATTTTAAATTTTTAAAACCTTATTTAGGATCTGTTATCTTTGACTTCTAAAATACTCAAATATCAATTTTAGTAGAAATCTGCCGACTTTAAAAAAAAATATTTTTTAAACTGCTCACCCTTTATATAACTGACTGGAAGTATAATTGGTTTTCAACCAGAAATGATTTTTATCTGTAAATAAAATTTGCAGTTTTTTTCTGAAACCGTTTTTTTTCGCTATCGCGCCAAAATACAGACAGACAGACGACGAGAGACGATGACAGACGACGACAGACAGCGACAGACAACGACAGATAACGACAGACAACGACAGACAACGACAGACAACGACAGACAACGACAGACAACGACAGACAACGACAGACAACGACAGACAACGACAGACAACGACAGACAACGACAGACAACGACAGACAGACCGACGGAATAGGGAAACATGTTTTTCACCATATCTATTCTTGAATCCCAGGGAGAAGAAATTTTAAGGGAAGAATGAGACAAAAATACAAAATTTGTGTGTTGCAGATAAAGAGGCAAAACCGGTTTTCTATTCTCTCGAATTCAAAAATAGCTACCCAGGCATAATTATTATTTATTTCATTAGCCAAATTCATGGTTAATAAATGCTTTTATCGATAATTGATCAAGTAAAAGCCTATGGTTTAATATATTATGAGCGATATAATAAAATTTTTTGTAAAAGTGTTCAGTAAAGTATTCGAAGATTGGTTTAAATAAAAACAACAAAAAAATTAACTTATGAAACAATTTTGGCCTTCATCACTTTGGTAAGTTTCAGTAAATTTTAGTCAAGGCTTCCTCTGATTATCATTACCATTATCATAGAAATAGTATAGAAAGCCAATTCCATATATCAAAATTGAAACCATAAGAAGCAAATAATAATGTATCGGAACGAATGCGCATAACGGTGCCGGCTTAAGTTTTATATTGACCTAATACATAAGTGAACATACACAATGTTTCAGGTTAGCCAATCATATATTTGTAGTTATTTCCATTTAAAAAAAGTTCAAGTAAACATGGTTCTGAAAGTCCTTGGTAAGGGCAGCGTTATCTCGAAAACTGTTTATCTGGACTATTTCACATATTTTTTTAAAAAAATCCTTATACGAAAATACTTTAAAATGTTCTTAACTTTGTAACTTTTTGCTATGTTACATGATATATCACATACAAAATATAATGTGTCTCCATAAAAAACATCACAATAATTTTAAAAATAGCTTTTGAGAAAACTAAACAATATTTTAGTGTGATGTGTTCCATTATATTCTTGTATTAAATGTAGAAGTTGTAACGGAACAAACATTTAAATATGTTTAGTTTTAAAGAAAAATCCTAGGTAAGTCAATGATTACTTGTGGTTTAGATATAAAAAGTAATTTTTCGATTACTTTAAAACAACTCCGCTTCTTAAAACGTCTTTACAACCCCTAGGCACACTTCATGAA